AACAGTGATACATATTACATTCCAAAATTTAAAATAAATCATATCTTCTACTATAAAACATTCTTCAATGCCGTTTAAGAGGTAATAAACGCCAACAATACACGTTAGCGTGGGTTAAGTTCGCTTTCCGCAATGGCCGCCATGACCTCCCGGTTCACGCTCAGCAGCGCGATCGATAATAGGTCATGCCCATTCATGGAGAGTGACCTATTTAAATTAGGGCTCACACGCTTATGCCTCAACGTACAACATTGAAATTAACAAATAAAAGAGATAAAAGGTTGAAGAAAAGACTGTGAGGAGTACCTAAAAAAAAAAAGATATACTCTTTAAATATAAAGGCTTGAACTTACCTTATTTTTAACTCCTTGTAACTCCGAACACACACAACCGATCCCGAAGTGGAAAACGCCATAATACGCGCCTTTCTTTCCTCTTTAATTTGATAGGCGGAAGTAATCCATAAATTGAAAAGAACACTATAAACGAAACAAAACAAATAGGTACCCCCCTCACGGGGCCCGATTTCTGACACAAAACGCTGCGGCCGCAGGTGAACGAAAATCTCGGGCCGCGCGGGCCGATATCCAAGTGCCTAATAGAATTTAGATCTAGATCTAGATTCTAAATCTAGTATATCAATTGGCCACCTCTATTCTCACCCGGAGTGAGAATAGTGCAGGCGAGTCTTGTGGCTATTCTCACCCGGTGCGCGTTCACCAAATTTTGCGTTCAACCTAAACCACAGAATTCTACACTGTGATAACAGAAAAATTGTAGAATTCTGTGCCGTGAACAAACGTTCCATTACAACTGTAGCCTACTAAAAGCGTACAATTTTGTCTGTGGGCAGTGGAGAGAGAGAGAGAGAAAGAGAGAGAGAGAGAGGAGTAGCGCGAGAACTTCCAGGCAAAACAAAATGGCGACCCGCGTAGTTCGGCTCGATTCGAAAAGTTAAATAGCCGTAGCATCTTTGTAGACAACCAAATTAATTTACTTTTGTGTTTTAACATCATTTTTAAACTTTGTTTTGGTCAATTTGATCATCCACACCGATAGACAGTATTCAGAAAGAGACAGAGAGAGAGAGAAGAGGGGAGGAGTTGATCTTGCGAGAACTTCCGGGCCCGTGAGAATAGCCACTTTCATATCAATTAATCAAATTAATGAAAAAATGGTAGATCTAGATCTAGATCTAGGTAGAAAAAAATGGTAGATCTAGGAGCTAGATCTAGATCTAGATCTACAACTAGTTGATTCAAACTTACGCTTGATTAGGTCTGGAACCCTTGCTTTGGGATTCATAGTCACCAAAATGCTTGCACTGGAACTGGATGCTCCTGTACACCCATTCATCTCGATATTTTTTTTCGGCAGTCATTACCCTCTTGTTTGCCGAAGAGACTTTTGTTGCATGCTTGGAAACAAATACACTATTTGTGTCTGATTTGTACTTGTCGAACAACTCTGTGAATTCAGCAAAGGTGCTGAATACGGCACCCTCGACCAGTCTCTCAATCGCCGGCGGGTGCATAGTGCATTGTTTTGAGAGAGTGCCCTCGGGCATGTTGTGTACTACGATTTTTATAATATTGCACACCAAATTTGACCCGGAAGTCCATTCGGAGGTTTTGACCATAAGGCTAATTTGTTCACTTGACCAAAGTGTGCCAAAATGGTAGCCTAGCTTTTGCCCTTCCATGAGGAAAAAATCTGGCCCTCATTCCAACCACTGGGATGAAGCAAATTTTTGCGTATTAAATTAATTGTGCTTTGTTCTTACAATTTTCATTATGTTATGATTTTAAGTTGTACACTAGAGACAAAACTGTACTAAATGAGAAAGGTGCACTATTACGAAAGTGGAACGAACTCAGTTGCCTGAAAAGGGTAGTTTGAGAATGTGTGGCCTAAATAAGCTAAACCCCCCTCCCTTACCTTATTTAGGCCACAACTGTGGCCTAAATAAGCTAAACCCCCCTCCTTTACCTTATTTAGGCCACCTGTGGCCCAAATAAGCTAAACCCCCCTTTACCTTATTTAGGCCATATGTGGCCTAAATAAGCACTCCCAAAAAAAAAACACATTGAGATGGTTATGATACTAATGCTGCTCCCACTACTACTATTAATGAATAAAACCCCAAATAAATAATAACAACATCACCAATAACAA